CAGCCCTCTCGGGTTGTAGATGCGGTAGGCCCGGCCAGTCTTGTCGTAGAAATAGTACGTCTTCTTGTCCTCGCGGTACTTGGCGTCGAGGGCGGCGTGCGCCGCCACCAGCCGCGCCTGGCGGCGTGCGACGTCGAGGTGGACCGGCAGCAAGACCACGCCCGCGCGTCGGATCGCGTCCACCACCTCGTCGCCGCGCAGCCCGCGGCCCACCGCTGCCTTGGCCGCCTCTGCCGCCCTCGACTCGGCGCCCTCCGCGCCCCCGCCGGCGGCGAGGCCGGCGCCGCCCCCCGCCGCGCCAGCCCCGCCCCCGCCGCCTAGAGTGGCGCCGCCCGCCTCCCCGCCCTCGCCGCCCTCGCCGCCCTCGAGGCCCTCGCCGCCCTCGCCGCCCTCGCTGCTCTCGCCGGCCCGCATCTCAGCATCCCCGCCACCGCCGCCACCACCGCCGCCGCCCGCCGCCCCGCGCACGCGCGCCTCGCGAGCGTACCGCGCCTTGAGAGACACCGCCGCCAGCGCCTGCTCGACCGCCGACTCCGCCTCCGCCTGCCCGGCCGCCGCCCCCGCCGCCGCCACCGCCGCCGCCGCCACCGCCGACATGGAGGTGAGGCCGGCGCCGCCGAGCTTGACTGGCAGCCGCGCCTGCTGCAGCGCCGCCCTGCGCTGCGCCGTCGAGCTCAAGCGCCCCGCCGTGAGCTCGTTGAACGCCTCGCCGATGAGCCGATCGTGCAGCCGTGCCGCCTCCCGCGTCGCCTCCTCCGGCATCGTGCGGAGGAAGTAGTTGAGGGAGGCGTTCGCGCAGAAGCGATTGAGCGTCACCTGGATCTGGAGCGCGAGGTTGCACCGCCGCGTGTCGTGGAGGCCGCACACGCCCTCCCGCCCCGCCAGCGGCGCCAGCGCACGGCGCACCCGCTCGACGAGGCGGCGCGAGGCCTCAGCAGCGTCGCCCAGGAAGGTCCCGAGCACCTTGATGACGAGCAGGCGTCCGTCGGCGTGGTTCATTAAGCTAATTGACGAAATCTCGGGGATCTCGTCAATTTAGTCAACTCGTGGCGCAATGATGCCCCAGAGCATTTCCACGAATTTCGCTCAAAGTTCCGTCAATTATGTTAATTGACGAAATCTCGGCTCAATCTCACCAATCTCGGCTAATCTCCTGCTCTGATTGCTGCACATCGTGTTCCGGGCACCAGTGCTGCTTCTCTCTGCTTTGAGAGCGTCTTTGAGGGGGGAAATTGAGTGGAAGGGAGGCTCAAGAGGGCCGCACCTACTCGCAGCGCACGCAGCTTGAGGCCCGGCGCCAAGGAAACCGCGGCACACCCGCCTCGCCCACGTTGTTTTGGATCTGCGAGGGCGCAGGCGGCGGCGAGCGAGCGTCAGCAGCATAAGATGGGACGAGCATAGCGCGGGCTCGTTTTGGGGGTCGCGGGGGCGCATTAGGCATGAAGGCGACCCGCGGCCGCGCGCTCAGCAGCGCTCAGACCGGCAATCCGATTGTGCCAGATTCGCCTCGATCCTCGGAGCGAGCCGCTCGCGCGGCGGCGGTCGCAGCACGGCGTGCAGCCGGGCACGGGCTCGCTGCAGTGGTGGTTGTGGGGCGAGGCGAGAGGGCCCGCGCGGGGGCAGCTCTCATCTCGCGCTGCGTCGCGCCGGGCGAGGGGCGAGGCGAGAGGCAACCATGGCAAAGGCACCTGCAATCTCGTCTGGGCAAAGTTTCGGCGAGCCGAGCAAGGTTGGGACGAGCAAAGGTTGGGACGAGCAAAGGTTGGGACGAGCAAAGGTTGGGACGAGCAAAGGTTGGGAGCCGAGCAAAGGTTGGGACCCTTTGCGGAGAAGGCGACAGGTGCCTGCCTGGGAATGGTGAGGGTGTGATGTGTGTTTGCGAATGGTGAGGGCGAGGCTGCGCGGTGCGCTGTGCTCGGGCGGTCGTCTTGGCTTGCCACGGGTGGGAGAGTGCGTGGGCACAGAAATCGAGACGCGTGCCTGCCGATTGCGCTCCTCCTCGTAGTCGGAGAGCGTCTTCGCCCTGACGGCCATCGCCGCGCGCGCCTCCTCCGGCTCGTCGGGGAAGGCGCGCCGCGAGGAGCTGGAAGAAGTTGCAGACGGTCTGCGGCGTGGCGGAGTGAGCGTGAGGGTAGCGTGAGGGCGCAGCGGAGGAGAGCTCGAGGCGGGAGGGGGCGCGCGGCGAGAGTCGAGGTTGGCGTGGAAACAGCGAGGGCCCAACGAACGGGCGATGGCGGGGTAGAGCTGCCTGGTACCACCGCTCCGGCTCCGGCCAGTCGGGGGTGTCGGTGGACGCAATCTCCCAGAAGACGTTGCCGTCCTGAGCGCGTCACATCGCCACGAGCTGGTGAGGAGCGCGCACGGCGCGGGCGGGGAGTTGCGTCGCCCTGCCGAACCTCGAGGACGTCCTGCCACGAGAGAAGGCCCTCGTCCAGGAGAAGGCTGACCTTGCGCTTGATCTTGACGCACCGGAAGGATGTGCTTCCAAAGGCAGCGGTTCTCCTGGGGCGGTGCAGCGGTCGGGAACGGGATTTTTGAAGCTGAGCGGCGATGCATCCACAACTGCTGCGTTCGAATTTGGGCGCACCAGCGCTTGCTCATCGGGAATCTTTGCAAGTTCGACCACTGCGCTGTCGGACTCGTGGTCGAAGGAGGCGGCGTCCCAGATCTGCGCAGACGGTTCGCGATGGGGCGCTCTGAGCGGGGGCGTGCGCGGCTGTACAGAGGGCCTCGACCAGGATTCTCCACGGTCAGACCACTCTCACATCCCTACCACAGAACGACTCCGACGCAAGCTCTCTCCCACAATCTCTCGCACAATCTCTCGAACCCAGTGAGCGCGGCAGTGATGACTGCCCCATCCTCTCCGAAGATTTGTTCACCGGCTTCTCCGACTGCGCTGAGTGGTAGGGCTAGAAATCGCGCCTGCTTTTCCCTTTTCTCCCAGTAAGCTAAAAGTGCGTACAACTGCACGTGTGCGTGTGTGCAAGGATATGTACCAGCTCACGCGCTAGGGCCGTTTGATCACGATTGTTACACGGCGTGAAAAATCAAGTATTTGTGAGATACCCCGGACTACCCTGTCGCTCGAACTCTGCGAGAAAGCTAGGAGTAGGAAGGGGC